TTTGCTCTTTACCAGCATATCGTCAATGTAGACCTCCATGGTGTTGCCGATCTGCTTTTTGAACATCCGGTTCATCAGTCTTTGGTACATCGCCCCAACGTTCTTTAGTCCAAACGACATCACTTTGTAACAGTAAACTCCTTTTGGAGTGATAAACACCGTTTTTTCCTGATCTGGGGGATGGAGGGGGATCTGGTGATATTCCGCTCGGGCATCCAGGAAGTCCATGCGTTCATATCCGGCAGTGACATCCACTAGCTGGTCCACCTTTGGTAGGGGGTAGTCATCCTTGGGACATGCCTTGTTTAGATCTGTGAAGTCCACGCAGACACGCCATTTCCCCCCTTCTTCTTCGCGCAAACCATATTAGATAGCCATTCTGGGAACTGTATCTCCCGAATGGCGTTGGCCTTCAGGAGTTTGTTGATTTCTTCGTTGATCGCGCAGGCGTGATGCGGGCCATGCGTCGTGGCTTTTGTTTAACTGGCTTGTGCGTTGGGTCAACATGCAGCTTGTGCGTGATTATCTCGGGGTCTACCCCCGTCATCTCCATTGCATTCCAAGCGAACACGTTCGTATTTTCCCTTAGGAACTCAATCATCTCCTCCTGTTCGGCTGTGGGCATTGCAGTTCTAACTAAGAAATATCTTTCTTCTTCTCCCTTCATCAAGGGTACCTTCCGGAGGTCCTCTACCGACCGCTCAGTTGGGTCTATCCGGGGGTCATCCATTCCTGGACGCCCGGACTGTGATTGCTATTTTTTCATGATCTCTTCCGGTGCTCGTCCCTTTTCTTGGGTGAACGCCCCGACTCTAACGACTGAATAAAAACAATTTTTTGCGGACGCTTGGTTCCCCCGGATCTCCATGATACCTTCTGACATGACAAATTTTAGTTTCTGGTGGTAGGTGGAGTATACCGCTCCCAACGTATGCAGCCATGTTCGCCCCATGATCACGTTGTAAGGAGAGTCCGTATCAATTACGACGAACTCGGTGTTGATGACGAAGGGACCGGTGACAACTGACAATGTGATTTTGCCTATGGGTAGGGCGAACGAGCCGTTGAATCCAATGAGAGGTGTTCTGACCTTGGTAAGGTCCTTGAGGCCAAGACCCATCCGTTTTAAAGTCTCAGAGTACATCACTTTCGAGGAACTTCCAGAGTCTATCAACACCCNAAGACACATCCGTTTTAAAGTCTCAGAGTACATCACTTTCGAGGAACTTCCAGAGTCTATCAACACCCTTTTGACATCGAATTTTCCTATCTTCAAGGTCAAGACAAGGGCGTCGTTATGAGGAGTTACTACGCCTGTCAAGTCCGCGTCCGAGAACGTGATGCTCGGCTCACCAGTCCTGGCCCTTTTACTGGGTGGCCCTCCATCATCCTCGGCCACCTTCCTTGTAAAAGCTACCCTCTTGAGGTCGGACTCAAGTTCCTTGGACGTGGGGCGATCCAGGGGACATACATGGATAACATCTATGACGTTGTCCGGTTCCTCGGTCGGGGCAATGGTGTGTCTCTCTTCTGGCCTGGGCTCTATGTATTCTTTCAAGGATCCATCTCGGACCAATTTTTCCAAGAATGATTTGTACACCCTGCAGCTTTTGGTGCGATGTCCGAAATCCCGGTGATAGGAACACCTAACCCTTTGATCACGGGTGGAGGGATCGCTCTGCATCCTGGGCGGCCATTTGAAGAACGGCCCGTGCTTGATCTTATGGAGCAACTTGAAGATGGGTTCTTTGAACACAGTGTGAACTCCTTTGGACGAACCCCCTGGAGGGGGTAACAATCCCTTTCGGGGAGTATCTTCCCGCTCCCTCTCTTTTCTCTTGGATTACAGGGTTCAGCCTTTGCTGCTTCCTATCTCGTCTTCGATCCTTGAGTATTTGTTCATTCGGGCCATCAGCTGCCCCATATCCGAGGGAGTCTTCTTGGTCAGGGATCAGTACAAGTTCGTGTCCCTCGCCAGGCCGAGCCAGAAAGACGCCGTTGCCATGACTTCCGAGCAGCCTTCTACCTCATTAATCTCTTCCCAGTATCGGATGGCATACTGGCAAAGGGTCTCGGATTCCTTACGTCTGAGGGTCAGCAATGATCCAACGTCTTTGGGTCGCTTACTCCCCGTAATGAATCGAGCCAGGAACTGCCTCGTCAATTCCTTCCACGACCCAATACTGTTTGGGGGAAGCGCCTCGAACCACTTCATCGTAGAGTCCCCCAAGCTCATTGGAAACACTCGGCAGAGAAATCGTTGGTCCGAATGATAGAGGGACATTATCTGCTTGTATTGCCTGAGATGGGCTTCGGGATCGGACCGCGCCGTCATAAGTTTTGAACCTCAGCACGATGAACTTTCTTGAAACCTCCATCTCTCCGATCTCCCTGGTGAAGGGTGTTTGTATGATCTCGTCTTCGACCTCATCCTGAACAGCCTTACTCTTTCTCCTGGATTTCNGGCACGATGAACTTTCTTAAAACCTTCATCTCTCCGATCTCCCTGGTGAAGGGTGTTTGTATGACCTTGTCTTTGACCTCATCTTGGACAGCCTTACTCTTTCTCCTAGATTTCAGCCGGGCTCTAAGATCAATTTCCTTCCTGACGGGATGTCTTCTGAAGTCCTTGAGTTCATCAATGGGCCCCTCATTTCCTGGGCGCCGTGCGGATAGGGTAGAATCCTCCTCGGACTCATCCCCCTCCCTCCGTCTAGACAATCCTCGTCAGAGGTCGTCCAGGGCCAATGGTCTTATCTTCCTTGAATGGTCGTTAGGAAGGTGCTCGTTGGCTCTCGATCGCTTTGGAGCCCGGGAGCTCTCCGCCTTGTTGTTTAGATGATTCCTTAGATCCTTCGTTTGTGCCTCCCGGGCGGGGAGCCCACGAGAGAGGAACGAGTCCCTCGACCCTTCGCCGGAAGCGGCAAATTCGTTGAGCTGGCTTAGGACATTTACATTGTCCTTTTCCAGCTGTCGTAATCTATCGCCAAACTTTTCTTCGATCACCTCCGCCAGCTGACGAGCCAGGGGGGCTGACCCTCCTGACCTAATTCCCATACTGGTTTGAGGGGTAACCCCTCTTGACTAAGTGGAGGCATTTTTATTTCCGTCAGTGTGATCCCTTCCTCCGTGGTGACAGAGAGCTTGTAGTTCGAGACTTCTTTGGTGGGACCTTTCCCTTTTTGTCGAGTGTTCACCATGGTCACTGTTCTTTATAGAGAAAAAACTAGGAGAACTAGTCGTTTCCCACAGACGGCGCCAGATTATGCGTGCAGGATTTTGCACAATATAAAAAACGAGAACAAATCTCTCCCTTGGTGAACTCGAGTGAGTCAGCTGAGAGGTCAACCACGCTGCTTGGGACAGCCTGTGAGATCCGGTGGTAACTTGGAACGGCAACGGGAGACCCTCGTGAATTGAAGGAATGATCCAGTAAGGCTGGGAAAAGGTTCCTGGAACAAAGGAGAACAAGTAAGAAGGGCGCCGGAGTGTTTTCCAGCGTATCCCCTCCGACGATCAAGTTAGTTTTTGAAATGGAGAGGAAGAAGAAAGCAGTGAGTATATTTCGTAGTAAAGAGTTTTTTGTTGCATACCGTTTTGCCTTTTATGAGGAGTATTTATACCTCAAAAGCTCATGATTGCTGTCAATGTTGTCAGTAGATGATCATTAGGTACAGGCAGTGTGCGCACTGATTCTGATGAGGAATGTCTTCCTTTCTTTAACTGCTCGGAGTGCCGAGCAATCAATACTGTGTCATCGGGCTGTCGACTGTCTAATGATCTCCACTCAGGGAGGATGCAATTAATGCCCAACCTTAGAGACATTTATTGCCTTTTAATTCCGAGCCTTACCGCATTGAATGCGGTCTCATCAAGGGAATGGTGTAATTAAATGTTTGCTTTCCCAAGTCGCGTCGTCAGTAAGGACATGCGGTCTTTCTGTCCCTGATGTGACACAATTTGCCACGCGTCCATCCCTCATTGGCTGTGGACCCTGCCTTCCTGTTCCTTCTGACACCAATTGTGTAAGACGAGACCATGATAGCTAACCTAGACTAGCCTAGGCTAATGACCTGTACATCAATAGTTTATACTGGAGCAGAGAAAAAGGCATCCTGGACGGGGGTACATCTCGGTACCGAGGATATGTACATCTCAGTACCGAGGATAGAACATCTCGAGCCGAGGGAAGCTGTACATGACGACCGAGGTACCATATCAGACCGAGGGTCGGTTCGTAAAACGTACTCGACACGTGTCAAGTATCTCGGGGGCGAGGGAGTTTGTAAGCCGATGGTACGTGATCTCAGTTAACAGGATTTTTAGTGACGCCGAGGCCACGTGTCTTCATTTTGGAGTATTTCAGAAAAGTCCCATCAAGTCTTTATGTCAACAATTTTTAGGTTTTTGAATAAAATGTCTTATGTTCATCACATGGACAATTATTTTTAGAATGCTCGTTCGAAACCTATTGGACAAAGAATCTTATTCCTTATACCCATTAACTTAAACCTAATTTTTTTCCATACCCATCAAACAAAACTGATAAGCAAGCTCTTCGTTTTAGTTTAAAAAACATAAATGTAAGCAATTGAAGAGTTTGTCGATCTGCTTCGTTTGATAGGTATAAAATAGGTTTATATTTAAAGTTTTAGTGAATGATTATAAGGAATGTGACTCTTTGTCTGATAGATTTAGAACAAATAATCTAAAAATAATCCATTGGTGAGCACATGAGACATTTCATCTAAAAACCTAACAACTGCTGACAAATGAGATTTATAAGGGATTAATTGACACAAAAATTAATTCAGAGACTTTATTAATTCAAGCATCATAGTTTGAAGTTCATTTGTGTAGTTTACTCTTTTTTATAATAACCTTGCCGATGGCAATGGTTCCTGGGCCATATTTACTAAGTTTGAAGAAGTGAAATTGCTCTTCTTCTCTCTCTGTTCCATTAATTTCCCAAAAGGGTATTGCAGTGTCTCACCACCACTATGTATCCTCTAGCTCCTATACATCTGCTACTTCTTCTAATCTCTCTCTCCAAATTTATACTCACAGTCATCTTCATCCCATGGAGTATTCAGCAACAGTTCAGGAAACAAGGCATCAGATGCCCCAGCTACCGTCCGATTTTCGGAAACTCGAAGGACATAATGAGGCAGTACAGAGAAGCTGAATCAAAGTCCATTCCTTTCAACCATGATACCATTCATCGTGTGGCTCCACCTTACTGTAACTGGTCACCCTTGTATGGGAAGACTTTCCTGGTCTGGTTTGGCACCAAGCCTAGATTGACTACAGCCGAACCGGACTTGATCAAAGAGGTTCTGATGAATTCGAGTGGAATAATCGATAAGTTTGGGGTGTTTAATCCTTTGTCTAAGCAGCAGTTTGGTCAGGGATGTTGGGCCTTTTGTCCAATTTGTATGTTTGATCCCGAAGATGATGATCCGACTCCGAAATATTGTTTGCATGGTTTTTAATGGGAAATTCGGCCTAAGCCGTAGCGCTCAGGAACAAGTCTCATGGGAGTTGCCCCCAAGGAACCGCTACTTTGGTGATTGGGGTTTGATCGATGTATAACCGCTCTCTGTAATTCTCTCTCTCAATAGTGAAAATCCTGCAGTTTCATGGATATAGACAAATTATCGAATTACGTAAAATCTTTATGTCATGTTCTTTCTAGTTTCTTATTACTTTATATTTTTTAGTTTTGTTATTCGATTATGTGTGTTTGTATGTGAGTTTAAAGACTTGTTGGGTTAACGGGTCAGAAATGGACTTTCCACAGAAGGATCACAAATCAGGCATTTAACATGGAGATAGTTAAGGTAAAACAGTTGCTTAGGCAAAGTGAGGAATACTATTTATTTTCTTTTCTTTTCTTTCTTCCATTATATCTTTAGCCTTTTTATTTGGTATCGGTACCGCCAATTACTACTACAATTACATCTATGAAAGGAAAAGTTGTAACTGCTCAAAAAGATCATAATTGATAAAAAAAAATGTGGTATTAATCTCTATATTTTATGATAAATCATGTCCTTTAAAATTATAATTTACTCCTTAAAAAAAATTAAAACTTTATAATAAAAAAAGTTGTAACTTTCAGTATCGGTACTGCCAGAGGTACTTCGGAAGTTCCCCTTTTTATTTTCTTCTTCTACACTTGTGGATGGAATCAAATATTTCGGTTAGCATCCAATCATAAAATTAACAAGAATTTGTTTGTGGACCGATGGCCATTTGTTCTACGCCGCTTTTCAAACTACTTTTATAGAATGTTTGATGAAAAAACTACGAGGCCTCAATTGTTGCCAACAGGGTTGGGTGCCTGAAGTTGTTGCTAGGAGCTTAAAGATGCTGGAAAAGTGGGAGCAAGAAAGAGGAGGAAGAGATGAATTCGAGGTAGAAGTTAACAAAGACCTATATAATCTGTCAGCAGAGATCCTATCCAGAACAGCTTTTGGGAGTAGTTTTGAAGAGGGGAAGCTCATTTTCGAATTACAAGAACAACAGATGAATCTCGCATACCAGGCCATGCGCAGTGTTTACATTCCTGGATTCAGGTGACTATCACCCAAGAAAAATTCAAAGTCCTAGTGTGCAGTCTGAGTTATTTTGTGCCTAAAACACATTATTTAGAAGGGTTCTCACTGTTTTGAACATTTAAGATCATGAGCATTGTCCAAGCCCTCTAACAGAAATTATTGTTCAAAAATTTACAGACATTGGATGGTATTCTGTTTTGGTAATGGCACTAGCTTTTTCTTCCTTTAGCCATTGTTTGTCAAGGTCAAAAAAATCTTGTTCCTGCCTTAGGAATGTTCGACTTGAAGTTGATGGAAAACACATAAGGGAATGATATTTCTTCATTGTAAATGACTAAGCATATTTCACTTGGTACCTGGATTGTATACAGGTTTCTTCCCACGAAGAAAAACAGAACGAGGTGGAGACTAGAGACGGAAATCAGAGACTCGGTAAAGATGCTAATTGAGATAAACAGTAAAACAGGAGAGAATTCGAAGAATCTACTTAATCTGTTTATGTCTGCCAAGGAGAATCGCGATGGAAAAGAGCAGAAATTGGGAGTCGAGGAAGTCATTGATGAATGCAAGACATTCTACTTTGCGGGGAAGGACACAACTGCTAGTCTTTTATCTTGGGCACTTCTCCTTCTAGCACTGCATCAAGAATGGCAGATCAAAGCAAGGGAAGAAGTTTTTCGGGTTTGCAAAGGCGATGAACTTCCCACGGCCCAGAATTTAAACGACATCAAGATTGTAAGTTCATTTTCCATTTGACTTGCCAGTTTTAGTATATAATGTTACAAGACTTTTGAGTTCTGAGTCTCTATAGATTCAGTTGCATTTTGGCCATGTCAGTAGCAAAAGATAAATTGAGTTAACCATTTCAGTGCATGCCTAGGTAACAAATGACTGTTGTTACGTCATGTCATCTCTAATTTCGTCAAGATCTTATCAATGGTTATATAAGATTGAAAGAAAACTCTGATAAGAGTGTTGTCGTCTTGCTATGGCTTTGGCATCAAAAGGTCCCTCGAGTCCTCCCAATAGGATACAAAAAGAAGACCGTAAGCGCATCTGAATGCCTTTTTCCCACAACAATATATGGATACTAGGATTAGTGCCATATAGCAAAGCCAGACATGTTCGACCTCACGTCTAGACAGCATCAGGTCGAACGAGCGCTGTAGTTCTTGTTTGAAGACCGGAATATTAGTAACATGGATTAAGATGACTTTTCGGAATACTAAGCCCCCGTAGAAATACTAGCAAATCTAATGTGACATGTATTAGAGAGCATAGCCTGGGAAGGAGAAGGCTTCCCACATAGGTAGATTAGCAATCACTAGTCTTCCATTAAATAGTATCAGACTTCTCTTCCAATATATTCTAAAAGCTTCAACCATTAGACAGACATGTACCATAAATAGATTTGATACTTTCTTTCCCGTGTGACCCCTTGAACTTCCATCCACATAATTGTACTGTGTAGCAAGGGAAGTATATAACTTAAATATTTTGTCTGATATAAAGAGAGAGAGAGATCAACAAGAACCACGATGACACTATAATATGTGAGTAAATGTCTATGTTTTTGCTTGGGATATCTGATATCTCCTATCACAGCAGTAGAATCTAATTTATCTGATATAAGCTACTGTTTATAACATGTAAATTTTTATATTTTTTGTAACAGTTGAGCATGATACTCAATGAAACGCTTCGTCTCTACGCTCCAGTCGGGATATTGCCGAGGTAAACATCGGAGAATATCAAGTTAGGGAGCCTTGACATCCCTGTTGACACCCAATCCTCCATTATAATGGCTGCTGTTCACCAGGACACTCATATATGGGGAGAAGATGCTGCTGAGCTCAATCCACTCAGATTTTTCAAGTCTCGGAAGCATTTGGCTTCATTTTTCCCATTCGGGTTAGGTCCCAGAATCTGTCCAGGCCAAAATTTAGCAGTGGTTGAGGCCAAAGTCGTCCTGGTTACAATCCTTAAACAGTACTGTTTCGAGGTATCTCCTTCATATGTTCATGCCCCGAAACTGTTTCTTACCTTGATGCCACAGTATGATGCCCACATCCTCTTCAGGAGGATTATGCTCTAAAGGTTGTCTTGGAATAACTATGGGTATTTGTCGAAAGATTATTGTTCAGGATGATATATAATAATATTGCGGTAGTTCAAGTAATAATAAAGCCGATTTAAATTTTGGAGTATTTAGGAAATAACATAAAACTACACTCCCCAGATGGACTAGTCACGTTTCATGTGTTTTTAGGGTAAATTTCATTTTGTCCCTTAAAAAGATACCAAAATTTTTAATTTATACTTTGAATGATTTTTTTTTTTTTTACATTACCTCTTTACAAAAATAAATATATTACGATATAATTAATTTCTTATTTTTTTTTGTGATCGATTAATTTGATACAAAACAGATGAACAACCAAACAAAAATAAGACGATATATTACATTGTAACGTTTTTTTTTTTGAGAAGATAATATAGAAAAACTAAGGGAAAATTTTAATGACACCCCCTCTAGTTTACCATATCTTCAAGGATACCTCCCTTAATTTCTGAATCTTTAATGACACCCCTTCTAGTTTAATTTAAATATCACCAACACCCCTACTATTAAACTATTATTTCTAACAAAATAAATTCATCTAAAATACTAAAATGCCCCTACATAACTTCAAGTAATTTTTTTACATAAAATTTTATTAAAATTCGAGCTGTTAAAATTTAAAAAAAAATCATAAATAACAATTTTAGTAAATACTAATTTTTTATTTACTAATTAGTAAATTTAAAAAAAAATGGAGCCAATTAAATTTTTTTTTTACATATTAAAATTTGAGCTGATTTGAACTCTATTCGAGTTGTTAGGGCCGATTAAAATTCTCTTTCGAGTCAATTATAATTTAAATTTTTTCTTATTAAAGTTTGTGTTAATTAAAATTAGATTTATTAAAATTTAAGTCAATTAAAATTCATATATTTTTATATATTAAAATTTAGGCTGATTAAAATTCAATGCGAATTAATTAAAATTTGATTTGAGTCGATTAAAAATAATTTTTAATTGGCTCAAAAAAAATTTTAATTAGCCCAAATTCTAATACGTAAGAAAAATATAATTTTTAATTGGCACAAATTTTAATATGTAAAAAAATAAATTTTAATCGATTTGAATTTAATTACGTAAAAAAAATTAGAAAACAGAAGGGGTCTCATTGAAAATATACTTATCTAGAGGGAGTCTCATTGAAGATATGTTTATCTAGAGGGGATGTGGATAAAGTTTGTCATCAAATATATCATGGACAATTTAGTAAAATTGCATTCTACTTAATAATTTTAATCGACAGGAGTGTCATTGAAGATTCAAAATCTAAAAGGGATGTCCTTGAAGATATAGTAAACTACAGGGATATGGTTGAAATTTTTCCAAAAATTAATCATTCGGAGCATACTGAGAATTTTTGTATTTTTTAGGGGGCAAAATGGGATTTTCACGTGTTTTTATCACTCTAGGGTTTACCTTGTTAAGCTCACGCGAAGTTTCTGGAGGACGGTGTGCGTCGGAGAGAGAAGGTTAGAAAGGCTCGAGCCCTCCTATCTAACTCCAAAGATTTATCAAAGCTTTGATCTTCGAATTAAAGTGATTTATAGTTTAGTTCGTTCGGATTCAGAGATTTTCGTTGATCATCGGACCTCTGATTTTTGATTGTAAATATCAACATCCACGGGTTTTAGGGTTTAGCTTTTGTTCCAATCTATCATCAGTAGGTGCGATTTTTAACCAGTTATGTCTTTTTTTTATTTAAGTTTATGATAATTGCTTTTGTTTTGGAGTCTTTAGATATTGACATTCAAGTTTCTGTTGAATAAAATTGTGCTTTTGAATATGTTCAACTGTAAATAAATATTATATTGCTTGATGATATGGTTCTAGGATTTGTTCACTATCTGCTTGTTGTTTGTGGTTTGCTTAGAGCTCTTTTGTTATGATAAACCGTTAACTGTTGGGTGCCTGACTACTTTTGAACGCCAGTATCTGTCTGTGGGGTGATTTTTTTTTTTTGAGATAGGTTATTTGGTCATTATTATCAACGCAATATATTGTTTTCTGGACCGCTTTTATTTGATATTAATATTACATAGAGAAAAACATGGTGACTAAAGGGTTTGCAGAAAGGGCATGTTTTAAAGATTGAGTTTCTGGTAATTTAGCTACGATTTTTGTGTTTGTGGGATATCATAGAGAGAGGTTATTTGGCCATTATTATCAGTGCAATCTATCGTTTTCCCGATCGCTGTTATTTGATATTAATATTACATAGAGAAAAACAGGATGACTAAAGTGTATGCAGAAAGGACATGCTTTAAAGATTGCGTTTCTGGTAATTTTGCTACTATTTTGGCAGTTATCCTGCTGTTTGCCCATGCAGATGGGTTTTCTTATTTTTACAATTAATGTTGCTCTTGTTTTTTGTATTTTAGGTTTCTAACTTTCTGTTAGCCATTGGTGAGAGAAAGAAGCATTGTTCTAGTTTGCAACTTGTGAATAGATGTAATTAGAGTTATGAGATTCTCTTTTGTGCCCTTTGCTGGTGGTCACTCTGTGTGTTGTAAACTTGAGCATATAGGATTGCTTTGTTTGAGAGGGCAAAATGCAGTCTAATTATGTGTCGAGACTGGGTGGTGCATTTAGACAGGGAATCCAGAGATCGCTTGTTGGGGAAGGGAGAGGACTTCAATACTCGGTGGATGGTCTGATTGGCCAGGGGAAATTGTTGTTCGGAAAATCTAGGTTGCTCCAGTCTGTTCCATTAGATGATCTGCATGTATTTTTGCGACCTGGAACGCTTGCTACAGCTCAGTCAAATTTGCATCTAGCAGATCGAAAAAAGAATCTTTTTGTTGTTGCAGCTGTTTCTCGGACTTTTTCTATTCCATCTGTTTCAGGGCCTTCTTTTCAGGTTTGTGGCTATCACGTAGATTGCCTGCTATCAGAGCCTAATCACTCTTTGGGAATTGGCTCTCAGAAGTCACTTATGGCTGTTTGTGGTTCTCGAGCTACTCTTTCCGACTCTTCATTAAGTTGTTTAACTTCCAGGCATGGACACCTCAGAGTTTCGACAAATACCTCTGTTACTTGCTGTAAATATAATTTTTTTGACAGTTGCAGCAAAGCCAGAATGAGTCTAAGTAATAAGGAACAACCCAACAATTTTTTGGTCTATGGATATTTCATATATAATGTCGCAAAGAGCAGAAGATGGTCCAATCCTTACCTTGGGTTTGGATTTAAGGGTTTACCTATCTCATCACCTGCATATTTTTCTGCTGGGACTGCTCGTGATGTGTCCTTCGACAATTCTGCACGTGAGGAACAGACTGCAAGTTCTGCTGATTCTTCTGACCAGTACGTTTCTCTGATGAATTTTTTATTATTCTTCAATAATGTTGACTGAGGAGCTTATTAAATTGCAAATATCTGTCTCCGTAATATACTGTGGAACACTGTTTATGTTTCTTTGAAATGCTACAGATAGGTATTGAATGTGATATATGGCTAGGAACTTATGTGATTATTGTGCCATCTGCTTATTGTATGTTATTTAAGTGTTTAAAAATTGTGTTTTTGACAATTGGGATCAACAACCATTTATTAATTACAAGTATGGGCAAGTACTGCCAGTAGCAACTGTTGCAACTGAAGATACAAAATACGTTTTGGATGTGTATGGTGGGTTAATGCAAGTCCAAGCCAGAAAAATAAGCAAATAAGTAAAAAGATGTATTTAAGTATACGATTTTTATAAATCTATTGGAGGTTCTCTTTTCATTCATGATATTGCTTGGTTTTGACTACAGGAAGATCCTAGCGGATAGAACTCTGAAGCTACATTCAGGATCATGTTACCTTCCCCATCCTGACAAAGAAGAAACGGGTGGGGAGGATGCCCACTTTATATGTGCGGATGAGCAAGCCATTGGTGTTGCCGATGGCGTGGGTGGCTGGGCTGATCTTGGTGTTAATGCAGGGATATATGCAAGAGAACTCATGTCTAATTCTGTAACTGCAATTCAAGAAGAGCCTAAAGGTTCCATTGATCCTGCTAGGGTCCTGGAGAAATCTCACTCAATCACAAAAGCCAAAGGGTCATCAACTGCTTGCATCATAGCACTCACGGGTCAGGTAAGCTACTTCCAGTCAAGGCATGCTGTCTATTATCATGCTGGATTAATTTGCATTTGGTTATCCCTTTTATGGATTCTAGATGGTAACATGTGCTACCATCAAATGTATTGAACCTTCTTTTATCAATGGTAAATTTGATTTGGACCAAGTTTTTTGCATTTTTTGGACATCATTTTTACCTGTATGAAGCATAGGGTTGGTACCAGTTATAATTATCACCCTGAATCTAAGACTCTGTCATGAATCCAAGGTGGAAACATTCCATCCTACAACACATTCCTGAGCAATGATATCAAAATGATCCTAGCTTTGGTTTGTATGTTTAAAGCTTGGTAAATTTGAGATGTGATATATTGCCTCTCTTTGAAGGTTTGTTTTCTCTATATTTTCGGGATCTTATTTGCTTTAAACTTTTTCCTTGATGAAAAGCCCTGAAATTCTTGGTGCTTGGAAGATGCTTACAGATGTTGAGCTGTAAAATTATTTGATGCTGTTCACATGATAAGATTTTTCACCTGGCTTACTTCTGTTTGTAGCAGTTTTTGTGGAACCCTCGTTCGTTTGGTTTTCATGCAGAATTAAATTTTGCCAGTCTACGTCCCTGTGCAGGGTCTCCATGCCATTAATTTGGGGGATAGTGGTTTTATGGTTGTAAGAGATGGATGCACCATATTCCGATCTCCTGTACAACAGCATGATTTCAATTTCACTTTTCAATTGGAGAGTGGTGATGGTGGTGATTTGCCAAGCTCTGGTCAGGTCAGTTGCTATGCCTTATGCTTGTACACATGTTTGTGAACCCTTTCTACTCGTTGGATAGATGGGTGAGGACTATGCAGTCTTCTATAAGAACGGTTTTAACCCCATTTTCCAAAAGTTTGGTTTATTCATTTTGATCGTAGAGGGATATGACTAGTGGGTATTTGTCGTTCTGATTGGCTGCGCAAAGAGATTTGCAAGCATTAATCAATTTGATTTTTGTGGAATATTGGACCATAGGCCCGTTATCTTACTTTTGGTTGTTCAAAAGGTTTTCTACTCATTCTGTAGTTTGTTCCTTTTAATGTGTGGTCTAATAAGTACTTCAAGGTTTAGGTGCACTGAAGTGTCTAGATTCTTGGCAGCAAGGGGCTTGTGAACCTAAACTGATATTTTACATAAACTGCCCCTTTTTTTGGGGTGTTTTTTTTTTTGGGTGGGTGGGGGGAGTAAGGCAGGTAGAATTGTCATCTATGAGAAAGCACGATTTGATAATCCCACAAAATATTAATAAGAATTGAGTAAAAAAAGTCAATGTCATGCATTTGATCAAATCATGCATTGTATGGGCAAACCAACAAAAAAATGGCAGCATATTAAATGCAAGGTAGAGAGATGTTCAGCAAAAAATCGAGAATAAGTCAGCGGACCAGGAATTTTTGCAGGGAAAGTTATGTTTGGCATAGTTTAACAGGCAAATATGCAGATATGTGCCATAGAACCATCAATAGAGGAATGCANGGCTTTGAGCATCTCAGCGCATTCATCTTACTAATGTGCATGGGTCATCAGGGAATTGGTGCAAAAGTTTTGTTATTGTGAATAATATTGGCCCACATCTCCTTCTTTACTTCAATGTACTTTTGACTTTTTCTGCAACCATCTCATAGTTTTTACTAATGTCCAGCTTATGACCAATTACATGCTGAGGATGTTTGATTGATTGATATGTTGGGGAATTGAAAAAAATAAATAAGAGGCCCATTTGTGCTACAGGTGTTTACAATTCCTGTTGCTCCCGGAGATGTAGTTATTGCTGGCACTGATGGACTTTTTGACAATTTGTATAACAATGATATTACTGCGGTGGTGGTACACGCCGTGAGAGCTGGCTTAGAGCCTCAGGTGACTGCTCAGAAGATTGCAGCTTTGGCACGGCAACGAGCACAGGATAAGAACCGGCAGACACCTTTCTCTGCTGCAGCCCAAGATGCTGGTTTCCGTTATTATGGTGGGAAGCTTGACGACACTACAGTTGTTGTTTCCTATATTACCAGTGCCGATAAAGTATGACCTCTCTCTCTCTCTCTCTCTCTCTCTCTCTCACGCACACCCGTGCATTTTCTTGTTTTGTGTACATGTATGCAACACGTGGGATTTGTCACGGAACATAGCTCTTTGGAATCACCACCTGGTATTCCATTTTGAAGTGTGGAAACATATATTCATTTCTGGCTAACATATAGATTGTAGGTTTCTTTAAATGTTGCATTATTGACTATAAACCGTGTTTCCAGCTGTACTCAGGACTAGGAGTTGGTTAGAACTTAATAGTGCACAGTTGCCTCCATCTCGGCTGTCCACTACCTTCTGTCATTGAATTGTTATACATGGCTTTCCACATTTTTTACCATCTTTACCATGGTCAATGTGGAGAATGTTGCGTGTTCAATTGTTGGTATGTTGCTCTACTCTGCATGGCCAAACTCTCACACACAAACACTGGTGTGCTAACAACTGCCAAGTATTGTAGATATGCTTACCCTTTCATCAAAATTTTTAAAAACAATTTGTGTATCTTGGGATCTTTATGTTTTCAGTAGTTTTAGGTTAACCATAGCTGTCAAATGGTACTTTCCGATTTTAAGTGTAAAGGAGATGAAACCACCCAAGGCAACGCTCACATAGGAACTATGCTCATTTAAAAACATTTAGATAGGCTCTTCACATAGGAACTGGCATGTAAGCAATATGCATTACAGAAATGGATTCTGATCTTATGCACATTTGTTATGCAGGAAAACTCTTCAGCATACAGCTCCGATTAAAACTCTGATTCCACCTCATCACTGTTTTACCACTAAACAGTTGGAACACAAATCATGCAGATTGCTCGGTATCTTCTGTGGCATTTGAAGGTTCATGCAGCAGAACTCAATGTTGGCCTTCTTTGTCTATCGTTTGTCAATGATAAATGACCTGTCAAGTCATTGCTACTGTGACCTTTAGCTTTAAACATATTCAGTGGCCTTTTTGCTTAGAGATTCTGTGGGGGATGGGAGAACATTTTCATCTGCATATTGGAACGAGTGTCTAAACAATGCGTCAAGAAATAGAGAGAGAATAGAACGCATTTGCTTGTCATTTTGGTGTTTCCTGTTTTAGCAAACTTAGCTGGGTCGATATTTGAGGTTGTAAAAGTAGCACGTTGTAAATTACAGAATCAATCGAGTTATTTGGCAAGCTTCTCTCTTCTTTACAACCCCATCCCCCAGGCAGGGGTGGCAGTGGCTCCCTCCCTTCGTTCCCCTTACCCTTCTTGTTGGTGTTCGTTTGTCATTAGTTATTCTTTTAAGATTTCCTTAGTGCTAAAGAAATTGATCCATTACAGTTTTTTTTTTCTCCTAGTTTCAAAGCACACCCATGTAGAGGGATCTTTTCTATACTCTGAAGCGCGCTGCATCTCCAGTCTAAGTGTGATGAAGATAATGATTTGGATCTTTGAACCAATACCAAACAAATGGTGCTCATGAACTACATGGATGATGCTTTTAGTGAGGAAGTGTGAAACAATTTCTGTTTCTTTGATTGCAGGTTTCTTCTTCTCCTTATTAACGTGGTATTACCGTTATATTTAATATTTTCTCCTCTTATAGGTGTCGGCTTTGATGGATGGTAAACCATAAGAGCATCTCCAACAGATATTTTAAATGCCCAAAATAGACAAATTTTAGCTAACCAAAGCCAAAAATAGCACTCTAACAAATTATATTCCTATGTTGTAAAATAGATTTTTCTTACATTGATGCTCTAAATATAAAATATTATTGTAACAATATGTAAATATAATATATATTATTTTCTCTCTTTTCCTCTTGTTCCTTCCATTCTCTCTCTTTCCCCTTTTCACTATTTTCAAAAAATATAATACAAAAGGGATGATAAATAATATTTAAAAAGAGTAGTTAAAAATATAGAAAATCTGTTGGAGTGTGTATTAAAAAAATGAGTAGCTAAAATAAAAAAAAATTATTTTTTGAGTAGCTAAAATAATTATTATTGGTGGAAATGACATTAGAGCATAGGAATAAATTACATTTTTAATGTCGAAAAATTGAATGGTATATATTAAATGAATAATACTATTTATACTTAAAAATTTGACATAATAATATAATTTTATAAAAATTATTAGATTAACATTAAATTTTAATATTTGATGAGATTTAATTAAATTATGTATTACCGAGTCATTTCCTCGACTTGCCTTCATTGTCTATTGATGAGATGACATATTTTCCACCAGAAATGGTCAACGAAGTAGGTAAACACTATTGGCACTTTGTAGGCTGCATGCCAACATAGCCAACGGATTGAAAGGTGCTGATCTGGTCTTTAGTCCTTGTCAACACCAATCATAAACGCTCATTCACAGAGCACCACATATTACTAGCTGTGCCGCGGTACACTGAATTGTATCCATCTTCCTTGCTAGCTGCAAGACTAGACTACTCTATACACCCTATAGCGACGAACTACTCTTCTCCTTTTCCTTTGCCTCTCTCTCTCTCTCTCTCTCTCTCTCTCGATGGCTGCAGAGAAAGAGTTGAACATGAGCACGAGTTAGAGAAGACCGGAAATTACTTTCAATCTTGATTGAGTGCGAAAGAAGAAAGGGACGTCTCTCTCTCTCTCTCTGTGATTATTGGAGATGGCGGTTCGTAAAGAGAAGAACAGTCAATCAGGGCGTGGATCTAGAATCGCCATAGCAATTGCGGTCGGGGTTCTCGTCGGATGCGTATGTGCCTTCTTACACCCTAACGGATTTTTCGCTTCCGATGGGCCGCCAACACAACGGGTACTTTCCAAGTCAAATCTCCAGGTATTCCAATCTCTCCCTTAATACCCTAATTATCTCACGTAAGTCTTTTACATGAACTATATGTGAATGTAATTGGTATCATAAAGGGTATTGAAGTGTTGACTTTTGTTGTGTTTTTCGGTTTTTCAAATCTAAGTGCTCCTGTGAAATCAATTGAATTGGGAATATACTGTCATCTTCATTCTGTGTGATCTATTAAAGGGAAAAAAGGTGACAAATAAAATCATATCTAGAGATTTATGAAGCTGAGTAAGGAGTTGTGTACATCTAATCCTCTCCAGATGCCATAATGACGTGAGTCTTGTTTACTGGGTATACGAAGGTGTTATGTGATTGGCAAGATCTCTATTAGCTTAAATTGGGTATTGTCAATTGATTTTAATGGTTACTTTTGCTGACTGAGTGAATTTACAACTGCAAACTGATATCCAGTCCTCAAGTTTTCCCAAGAATTTTGTTTGTTGGTGGTTATGGCTTGATGTTGAGTTATTAGCTAATACATGATGATATTGTGGTCTTATTGAAATAACGTCAATATTTGTTGGATGTGCCTTAAATATTGGTGGGTTTTTTTTGTAGATTGATTCATCCTCTTGCGAATCAACAGAACGGATTAACATGCTGAAATCAGATATTATGAGTATGACGGAGAAGAATGCCGAGTTGAAGCGGCAGGTTAGGGAGCTAAATAAAAAGCTAAGGCTGACTGAACAGGGAAAAGGTGATGCTCAGGAACAGTTCATGGTGTTGGGCGAACCCCGGAAAGCTGGGCCTTTTGGTACTGTCAAGGCTTTGAGGACTAACCCAATTGTCATTCCTGATGAATCTGTGAATCCCAGACTAGCAAAGATATTGGCAGAGGTTGCTGTTCGGAAAGAGCTAATAGTTGCACTTGCCAATTCAAACGTAAAATCAATGCTAGAGGTCTGGTTCACTAGCATAAAGAAAGTGGGTATTACCAACTACTTGGTTGTGGCATTGGATGATGCAATTGAGGATTTTTGTAAGTCAAATGGTGTCCCAGTTTACAAGAGAGATCCAGATAAGGGTATTGACGCCGTTGGGAGGACAGGAGGTAACCATGTTGTCTCAGGACTAAAGTTCCACATCCTGAGGGAGTTTTTGCAGATGGGTTACAGTGTCCTCCTCTCGGATGTGGATATAGTTTACTTGCAGAATCCATTTGATTATTTATATCGAGATTCAGATGTGGAGTCCATGACTGATGGTCACAATAATCAGACAGCTTATGGATATAACGATGTTTTTGATGAACCTGCAATGGGTTGGGCTCGATACGCTCATACAATGCGAATATGGGTTTATAACTCTGGATTTTTTTTTATAAGACCTACCATTCCTTCAATTGAGCTGTTGGATCGAGTGGCTGCTCGGCTTGCTCGACCACCGAGCTCTTGGGACCAGGCAGTTTTCAATGAAGAGCTCTTTTTCCCTTCGCATCCAGGGTATGATGGGCTTCATGCTGCCAAAAGAACCATGGATTTCTATCTCTTCATGAATAGCAAGGTCCTTTTCAAGACCGTGAGGAAAGATTCTAAACTGAAAAAGTTCAAGCCAGTTATTGTTCATGTAAATTACCATCCAGATAAACTTCCAAGAATGAAAGCAGTTTTTGAGTTCTATGCTAATGGCAAGCAAGATGCACTGGAACCTTTCCCTGATGGGTCTGATTGGTAGAGACTGCAAGAGGCCTTCTGATTGCAAAGATGCACAAGCCGTTTTCTTCTTGCTTACTTTTGCTGGATACAGGTGATATCAACTGATTTTACCTTTCAGGAGCAATCTGTAAAATGAATTCCTTTGCCTTTTTCGTTCAAATTTGCTGTCCTTCTGATTTTGTTGTTAACTACTACTAGACTACCTCCGACTCAAAATGGATGTGTCATGTCATTTATACTTCTACAAATGTCATGAAAAATTTGGTGTTTGTTGATGAATGAATTCAATGAAGTCTTTGAGAAATGCTTTACTGCTGCAAGTGCCAGTATTTCTTCTGCTCGATTGCATCGTTTCTGACATGGCATTTTGGTGCTTGGTGTGTACATTGTGAATTGGATAGTTTTTCTAAAATTTATTGAAATGGTTAGGAAGAACAACTGATTTTATTTTCGTAATTTATCATCATATGGGTTGTATCCAACACATGAACATATTTGCAAAATGAAATTGTGTAGAACTTTCCCTTCATACCTCGCTAAGCCAAGATCCCTGTTCTCCTATTCAACCCGCGCTCTTTTGAAGAATCCAGCACCATGGGCGTATGGCCTGGCAGGCCTTCTCTTTCAAACCGAGCTTCAGGGACGGCTTCTCTTTCACCCAATCTTATGTTTGGATGTGAGCTATACTCTGCAAGGATTCAAACCAAAAAACTGTCTAGCAAAGCACCAGCTCTCGGAGTAATGGTATTTGGTATCTGGATTTCCAGTAAAAATGGTAATTTTCTGACCCTATCTAACATCATATCATCATCCTTCAACATTCCAATGGATGAATTTTCCTTTTTGCAAGTTTTGAATGACTCAAATAAGCTCAATGGCATCCTCTTGTTTCACAATCCACTGCAAAAGACTAAATTTTACCTTCATATTGTAGTTGAATTTTCAGAGGGGTAGATCAAATAATAACAGAGACAAGTTGTAAATTCAGACGTTTTGAGTTCAAATTTTTACAATCTCTTGAGATCAGACTATGATGAATTTATCTCTTATGAATATCCTTGTCCCAACATGAATAGTCTGCATTTGACTAGACCGATGAAGAGATTAATCAAGGTGCGTAAACGGGTTCATTCACCCGTAACTGTTGAATCATAAGTTTTTGCTTAAATTGTCTTAATTTTTAACTTCATTTTTTTGGTTATCATGGTTTCGAATTTATATCTCAATTTACCATTTTTACATTAAAAAAAAAGTAATTTAAACCCACAAATTTTAATGTAAAAACATTTCTTTTTAAAACACACTTTCAAGATTTTTTTTTTATCAAAAGTATGATTATTTTTTTAACAATAAATTAATAACTAAGTTTTTTTTGAACCAAAATAGGGAAGGACTAAAATTATAAAATCACAATATTTCGAAAATCGATTCATTTATGATTTACCCATCACCATCGCAACTGTGTCGTGTAATGAAGGAAATGCGACAATAGGTAATGAATGTATCACGAGAAATGAAAGGTAGCAATCAATCAATGTATGACTTGTACCTAATGTTTGGAAAGATTGTAAAGGAACCTGGAGGAAAATCATATGCTTTTAATTCATTCACGGGAGGTTCAGCAAAGTGAAAGAGACATAAGTTTGGTCGAAGAAGACATGACTGCAGTTTGCCTTTTGTTCACTTTTTTTTTCTTCTTCTTTTATTAATCAATCTCCATTCTAATCACAATGTTTTGACAAACTGACTACTTATTGAGAGGCTAAACAAGAAATTTAAAAGAAAAATCGTACTACAACAACTAAAAATATTTTCTTTTTACTTTTACCTTTAATCGACTTGTCGGCACAATGACTTTTTTGAGACAATATGTAAAAGGATTAAGTGACTCTCAAAAATTGTATTTTGTAACGCGTAGCGGAAGAAGAGTAAAGATTTGGTTGAGTTAATATATAGGGTTTAAGTGCTCGAAATTTATATTAAACATCTTAAATCTCTCGTTATCAAATTTTATGAAATTAGATATAAATTATAGGGTAAAAATCATAATTGATCCTTGAATTTTTTCTTTGATTTTTAGTCCCTAGACTTTCAACTATTCCAATGTTGTCCCTTAACTATCAATTTTATCTTAATTAAATTATTCTATCAATTTTTTTTTGTTAGATCAACTCAAAACCAGTCCAATCTAGTTCATTGCAACGTTGACCTAACAGTGAAAATGAACGAAATGAGAAAAAAATTGAAAGTTGATTTAGGAACCAAATTGAAACTAAAGACAAAGTTCAGGACCAATTATGATTTTCACCCTAAATTATATTTTAATTTAGGGGCTTAATTGAAATAAAATTTAGTTTAAGGACTAAATCGAATCTAGTACAATAGTGTAGGGACTACTTTGACATTCACTTCCGTTCTTATTTGCATCACAAAAAGTTCCGTGTAACGGTCACCAAGAGAAATTAAAATTTAAAATAATTTGTTTACCGGGAAAAATATGTCCAATGCAATGAGCTTTCTTTCCTTTTGTCGTTTCGAATAATATTCTTCTCTCTTATCCACACTCCAACACACCACCACCACCATCCCCACCATCCCGTGGCTTCAATTCTCACGCACCTCTCACTCCTAACCCCACTTTCTCTCTCTTCTTCCCAGATTTTCTTTTCGAAATTCAGGATCAGCTTGATTTTCCACAAACAAATTCTCTCAAATTCAAACCTCAAATTAGTGTTTGAAGATTCTCAGCCACAATATTTCTGAAGAAATAGTAAAATTTTACAGGTGTACAGATTCTTAACAGTCACTAATTTTTGGTGGAAACCGGTGATGATAGTTCATGTTCATGTTCTTAGGTAAGGTAGAATTTGCGAAGAATTTCGGACTCCGAAACAAAGTTCATGATATTCCCGCCAATTTGTTGTTCGAATTACCAGACTTTCGGGGTGTCTCTGTGACTGATCCGTGTTTTGTTAGAAGAAATGGCAGTTTGATTCGAAAGTGATTGGTTTGATCAAGATGGGGAGATCTATTCAGAGAGAGAATGTTTTATTGGGTTATAGTCCTCAAAGATCGTTGGAGAACCCTAGTTCTTCTTCGCCGAAATCTCTATCCAGAAACTCAGATATTGATTTCAATGACGTTTTTGGTGGTCCACCGAGGCGCTTTTCGATTCAGGAAACGCATTTGAGTTTCAATGGAGAAATGGATTCTGAGCGTGCAAGTTCGTGTCGTAGGTGGTCCGGCCTAAGCGAAAAGCCAGTATTTGGTGAGGAAAATGGGAATCGGAGGCGATATCAAGGTGATGATTTCTTTGATGATATCTATGGAGGTGAAGAGACTTGTAACTCACCTAGAAGAACTGATCGGGATGCTTTTGGTTCGTCACCTGGTGGTTCGCTCGTTTTAAGCCCTGGGAGTCCTTTGCCCCCCAAAGCTGAGCATTTTGACACTTCACTTCCAGCTCAGTTCAGGTTTTGGTTTCCTGCCCTTATCTCACTGGTGTTTTTTTCGGAGTAAATACCCCCGTCTCTCTTAGGAACTCCTTGCAAATCATACAATATTGTTGCAATCTTGGATATTTGTAATGCATTCGGGAACAAACATTTTCATTAACAAACTAATTTTTGGTGTATGGTGCAAATATGTGAATTCTCCTCGATTTACATGTTAATATGTATTCAAGTTTCGGTAACATTTACATACATCTGCGTACATTGCTACTAACAGCAGCTTCGTGAGATGTATGAAATTTATTACTTTCTCTAATGCTTCCTTTGGTTATTAATCATCGTTTGACAAACTTAATATTTATCTTCTTTAGTCGTTTGTAATGTATGAGGGTTCAGTGGACCATGTTTACGTTAACCATTTAGGTGAGGGCTAGTTTTTAGTATCTTCATTTAGATGGAAATCCTTCAATTTAATGTTTTCTCTCATAGTTTTTTGTATTGCATAATTGTTTCTAACCTGATGTCTTCTTTGCTTTCTATTTTCCCTTACTTTTTATACAAACTGTTTCTCAGTTATGTATTCTGGTTTTGAATTTCCTGCTCTTTTCTGTCCCCTGTTGCTATGCACATTTAAGTTCCTCACTTGAAATGCCTTCAAACCTTTCAGTCTTCCAGCCAAATTAACCAAAGCGATGGACTATCCCGTCTTTGCTTCTGGTAATTGTAGCCCATCTAAGTACAAGGACCGCATTGCAAATGGGGCAGGCCATCTATCTTCTCAGAGTGCTTCTCTTTCTAGATTTTCAAGCCAAGTAATCCCAGGACAGATTGAGCTGAAAAATGATGATCGGCCTTATTATTACCAAAGCCCTTTATCCCCTGAATTATTTCCTTGTAGTGAGGACACCTCAAACAGGACCCAGTCTGATCTTTCAGAAAAGGGATGCAACTTGAAAAAGGATTCAACAGGCACAAACGCTCTTAACAATAGCAGCCAATTTCACTTCTCCATATACAAATGGGCAGGCCAAGGTGTACCATTACTGATGCCTTTTAGGGGAGGGAATATTACAAAATCAAAAGAGACAGGTAAAACTGACAGAAGCTCAAGCTCTAATGGAAGAATTGAAGGTGACATTAAAAATGGGAATCTCCGGGCTATTGAGAGTCTCGTTCTCAACCACAGCATAGCATCAGATACCAAACCCTCTAAAATTGAAGAAGAGAATCAATGCAAGGAGAGCAATCAAAACAGAGTAGAACCATGTAGATTGGTTGAGGAAACAATTCTTGACATGCCAGAATTAAAACCCCACAACAGCGATGAAACTGTTGAGAATGTACCCGATGGTACTATCTTCAGAGGTAAAAAAGAAGAAAAAAAACCTCATTCTTTACCAGACATAGGTTTGCCTGGTAAAACTGAAAAAGGAGCTTTCATGGTTACAAAAGAAGCTTGCAAAGCTGAGTTGAAGACTCCGAGTTCACTGCTCAATTGTGATATTGAGGAACAAGGTAATTTGTTTACAAATTAGGCATGTATGTAGAGTTAGGCTGTATCTATCACTAATCCCATTTTCTTGTGCGCAGGAGATAAAGAGATTACTCCAAATTCTGACGGGAAAGAAAAAGGGGAGAAAATGACCAAAGTGTCTCTTTCAAATGTTGATGCCAGTAGACTTGTAAAGAAGAATGATGGAAAAAGAATCAATTCAAACAGAGCAGGAGTGGAAAAAGCTAACTTGCAAGGTTCACCTATAACTTTAGGAGACAAACTAGGAAGAACTGAAGGGAAAGGAAAGGTTAAAGAATTCGTTAAGATTTTCAATCAGGAAGCTTCGCCAAAACCCAAACTCAATGTCACTCGAACTCAGAAGGCTAGACAGAAAGGCACAAGCATCCATGGGGCAGATAATGGAGCAAATGTTGGCACAACCAAAATGGATACAAAATCGCAGTTGCCCAATGGAAATAACATTCCAGATGCTTCCTCCAGTGTAATCAACTTATAACCACTTGATTCCACTCATTATTGAAAATAATTTATTGAGAATAATTAATCAACCTGATAGCTATACATACTCCAATAATTTGTAGATGAAATTTTTTCCAAAGTGGTTTTACTAGATTTTGTAATCAAATATTCCTGATTTTTATTAGGTGGATGAAACTGCTGAACATTCAGAGAAAGAAAGTGCTCAAATAAAAACCACAGCCACTAGTGATTATTCTTTTTCTCAGAAGGTTGCTTCATCATTTCCTGGTGGGTTCTATATTCCTAGCATTTGAGATATATAGCTTGTAAAGATGTTTAGGAAATGTTAAAACTTGGAATTCATGTAATTATATTTAGAAGAAGCTCTTTGTTCCTCATGTTATCTTAATCAAGAAAAATTGAACCTGTGTGATTATTTGCATCGGGCCTACTATCATCATCAGAGTATATAATGTAGAATTAGGAAAGCAAAGAAGTTGGGTAAAATTTCATGCTAATGTCGTGATCGGGAAGGAAACTTTAATGTTCCTTTCTCTGGGACTCTGGTGGCCATGTCTGGCCAGTTGTCATGGGAAATTTCACTGCATATGTTATCCGTATTTGCGTCTTAGAACTATATCCACCCTGTTACAGTTACACGATTACACCTTCATATCATTTAGAGCAAGCACACATGATTAACATCCTTTTGGGATTCTATGTCATAAAGTATGTATTTTATGTCATTGTACGGGGATGGNTATCTATCACTAATCCCATTTTCTTGTGCGCAGGAGATAAAGAGATTACTCCAAATTCTGACGGGAAAGAAAAAGGGGAGAAAATGACCAAAGTGTCTCTTTCAAATGTTGATGCCAGTAGACTTGTAAAGAAGAATGATGGAAAAAGAATCAATTCAAACAGAGCAGGAGTGGAAAAAGCTAACTTGCAAGGTTCACCTATAACTTTAGGAGACAAACTAGGAAGAACTGAAGGGAAAGGAAAGGTTAAAGAATTCGTTAAGATTTTCAATCAGGAAGCTTCGCCAAAACCCAAACTCAATGTCACTCGAACTCAGAAGGCTAGACAGAAAGGCACAAGCATCCATGGGGCAGATAATGGAGCAAATGTTGGCACAACCAAAATGGATACAAAATCGCAGTTGCCCAATGGAAATAACATTCCAGATGCTTCCTCCAGTGTAATCAACTTATAACCACTTGATTCCACTCATTATTGAAAATAATTTATTGAGAATAATTAATCAACCTGATAGCTATACATACTCCAATAATTTGTAGATGAAATTTTTTCCAAAGTGGTTTTACTAGATTTTGTAATCAAATATTCCTGATTTTTATTAGGTGGATGAAACTGCTGAACATTCAGAGAAAGAAAGTGCTCAAATAAAAACCACAGCCACTAGTGATTATTCTTTTTCTCAGAAGGTTGCTTCATCATTTCCTGGTGGGTTCTATATTCCTAGCATTTGAGATATATAGCTTGTAAAGATGTTTAGGAAATGTTAAAACTTGGAATTCATGTAATTATATTTAGAAGAAGCTCTTTGTTCCTCATGTTATCTTAATCAAGAAAAATTGAACCTGTGTGATTATTTGCATCGGGCCTACTATCATCATCAGAGTATATAATGTAGAATTAGGAAAGCAAAGAAGTTGGGTAAAATTTCATGCTAATGTCGTGATCGGGAAGGAAACTTTAATGTTCCTTTCTCTGGGACTCTGGTGGCCATGTCTGGCCAGTTGTCATGGGAAATTTCACTGCATATGTTATCCGTATTTGCGTCTTAGAACTATATCCACCCTGTTACAGTTACACGATTACACCTTCATATCATTTAGAGCAAGCACACATGATTAACATCCTTTTGGGATTCTATGTCATAAAGTATGTATTTTATGTCATTGTACGGGGATGGAATGTCATAGGTAGCTGCGTAATTATTAACGTAGCGTTGAGTAATTTTTTTTTTTGGTACATTGGAAAGTTAAAGAAAACTAAATAGAGTTCCTAGAATAAGCTACACTAGCTAGATCAGCCATTAAACAGTTAACTTGAGGTGGGGGAGCATCCAGCTCCACCTTGAGTAATTAACTTCCTGTTGTCTCTTAGTTTTGTGAATTTATTATGACACTGCTCTCTTTGTTCTGAATTCAATATTATCTGAAGATAAATTATGTTAATTTCTTCTGCTTTTTTGTCAGCTGCACTTCCTGATGATTCTAATGTCACTGATGGAATCATAGACGTCCTCTTCCACGAAAATTTCATGGTACGTGATTAGTTTTTCAAAATTGGTTGTTAAGTACATCTTCTCGCAGTAACTGCTTGCTAATTGTTCTAGATGAAGGTGGTTTTTTCAGTATCAGAAAGTGGATCAATCGTGAAGTTTTCGAAATATAACTTTCTGTCTTTTTAAGTGTCATGATACCAGTGATTCGTGAACATTAGATACACCATGCATAGCTGGTTACATGGGTAGGTGAGTCTGCATGGTTTATTATCATTATAGTTGTTTCACTGATAAGCTTATTTACTTGGGCTTGTGAACAGATCAAAGAATTACCTCATGACCAGGATAAACTTTCACAAACTGGTGAAGATTATGAGGATGTTCAAGTAATTTTTCCTCATTACAAAATAGCTGTAATGTCTATATAACACATTAGTTTTACAAATAATAACTCGATGCAGGCTTCAGATGCTAAAATTCGGCAATGGTCAAATGGGAAGAAAGGAAATATTCGCTCAATGCTGTCTACTTTGCAATATGTAAGTTTGGAACATTTTTCCCAGAAACTTCAATGGGTTATATACAAAATTCCCATTATGTTATACTTCTGGACCAAAAGCTGTCCCTATTTATAAAAGAGACCTTCAAATAAACTTGCAGAATGACTTCCTTAAAATTTTGACTCTTAGACTATGACATCTTTGCTGCATTTTCAAACTTACAACAGAATTCTTGAAGCATTAACCCTTTCAGAAGAAGTATGAATTAATTATCGATCTCGTTATGGCTTATTTTTATTGCTTAGGAAACATTAGAGTATTTAACCCCCTCAATTTCAGAACTGGTGGTTTGATTCTTTGCTGACTACTTTGTGGCTGGATGGCTGTGGTTTGATATTTTGCATGTTATTTTTTTTTAATTTGTATCTGTTGGCAAAAAGAATTTCTCTTTTTTGGATAGCTTCTGCAAGGCCCATGCTAAGAACTTTTGTATCTCTCCAACTGATAATCTTTTTTAACGTAGGTTCTTTGGCCTGGGAGTGGTTGGAAGCCTGTTCCGCTTGTTGATATAATTGAGGGAAGTGCCGTGAAAAGAGCATATCAAAAAGCTTTACTCTACCTACACCCAGATAAGCTGCAGCAGAAGGGTGCTGCTTCTCATCAAAAATACATTGCAGAAAAAGTTTTTGACATTTTGCAGGTATTCATAATTGTTCATTCATATTGTAGAAGTTTGTCCAAGGATAAATGTTAATTTTTCATTCTTTTTCAACAGAAGAAGAGTCTGAAAATCAATCTGATATGTAAATGAATCCCATGATGAGTCCCCCATATATATTGCCGTTCTGTCATTCTGCCACTGAACTGCTTTAGGATCTTGGCTTGTAGTGCACAAGAAATTATCATCTTGTTATTTTGTAATTTACTCCTACACAAATTGATCAATGTCCCATTTCCAGTGTATGAACTCTAACTAGTATCAGCTCGACATTTCATGTTTATGTGACGTTGTAGTCCATATGTATTTAGAGAAGCAAGCACTACACATATCATTTTGTAGACCTTTTATGTTCCGCCACGGAGCCAAATTTTACATGAAATAGATGCCAATGCTGTCTATAACTGAACAAAATTGACTTAATTGGTACATTCTCTTTGTATGCAGGAGGCATGGGATCATTTCAATACACTGGGTGAACTTTGATGGTTCAATGTTCTATTGGCAATATCATCTGAAAGGAACAGGATTGGTGCTCAGTATCAGAAAGTGCACAGCAAAAGTATCATTTTTACTCTGCATAGATCGATTACATGGGACATTTATTGATACCATATTGCTTGTTTTAGAGAAGTAAATCTGGAAACACTTCCATTAAGCTCCTTGTACTCTTTGTTCATACCATACTGAAAATGATTTGTAGGCAACACAAACATATAAAGAGGTTGTTTTGCTTTTGTTTTTAAATGTTTGTTTAGAAAGGAAATGGTTCAGCTGAATATGCAGCCAATTGGAAAAGTTTCAAATTCACTACCTATGGATTGTGAAACGTGTGTTCAGTGAGAAAAAGAAAAAGAACATGTATAATTCGGTTTTTAGTATTACCCTTGTAACCATCCGAGCTGGTGGTTTAGTGATAAGTTGTACTCATTTAGGATTGTCTTTAACTCTCATGTCATTATCAAGCAGGGTTTAATTCATGGGAGTGAGTAATGCAGTTTGCTACTTGGATTTGATGGTGTTGTGGTAATTGGTTAATCTTTCAGATTAGTTGCTATTATTCCACAGCGAGGTGATTCTCATGATTTCGCGGTGGAGTTACTGTCTATTGGTTGTCTCTCCCTCTTTTACCAGACCAAAAAAAAAAAATAAAAAAATCTACTCCTGTATGGGTAAATTAAGAATTTTCTATGATGATCCATAAAACTCAGAATTTTTTGCTCAATTTCACTTAATTAGCACTTTCAGTTAGAAAATGTACCATCTCCAGAAATCATTTCAATGTGGTCTTTAATATTTTGAGTGTTACTATTGAAAAACCAAAAATTTGAGTACTAGAGATTGCGAAGATCCCTGATTGATTATTTTTTTACTTCATATTGTAATGAAAATGCAATAACATTCGATCTAAAAAGAGGATAAAACCCGCTCTTTTATCTTTTGAAATTACCGATTCTAAATAAATCACACTTTGGTAAAAAAGAAGTTTATATAAACAAGAATAAGTACAAGACTATGAAACTCAATGTCTTTTATTAAGCCCTGCACTTTTTCTACAATCGCCTTCACCTGCTGTCTAATGTCCTCTAACTGTCAATCTATACAATGAGTAGCACACGGTGACACCGAGGGTTTATTAATTAGTACACCTCCGGTGCTGATAAGGTCGGAACCATGATCGTCCATCTCCAATTTACCGGCCGATACAGCATAATTTGAGACAACTGGCCATTATATATGTTGGTTTTTCTTCTTCCTATTTTCTTTTTCATTTAACCCGACACAAAGACAAGAAGCCCGTGAAGGCTTTAAAGACAGCAGGTACAAGCAGCTGTACCTCTTCACGACAGAGCTGGCGATTTTGTGAATGCACATGTATATGTATTAGTTCACTTCTATTATTGTACAGGAACAAAACCATAACACTGTAATAGAAATAAACTGCCTCTAGTTCGTCATGCATTTTCAAGACCACAAGTTCGAATCTCGTAAAAAAATAATCTAAATAATCATTAAAGCTTAAATACCCACTTCAAATTGATATCGTATGGGGAAGTTTATTGAATCTAAGTGAAGGATTTGAATCCACTTGAGAGTTAATTCTCTTAAAATATTTTAATGCTGGATCATAGAATATGAACTAGGCCTTCTATTAATACACAATGGGTGATTTAATAATGAAACAGTTGTAGCAGAGGAGTTTCTAATCTTTCAGAAGATATGACTAGGTTTAATTATCATTGATTAATCGGGGGATAGTCAACCCTTAATTTCAAATTGTATTTTGAAAAATCGTTCGAATCATAATTTACACCTTTAAAGATAAAAATTTATATCAATGTACACCTCAAACTAACGGCGGTCAATTTGCCGTCTAAAACAAAATGAATAAATTATACCTAGACCCTTCATACTTGTCACTTAATCATTTAGACCTCTCACATTTAAAATATTACAACTACATCCATTGAGAATTCAAATATGACTAAAAATATTCCCCTAATTGGGCATTCAAATAATTATGGTTAAGTGATATATTGCATTGAATATAAAGAACATTATATAAAATACCTACATTATAATAGACATTCAAATGGTAAGCTTGATTTTGAACTTTAGAGTATAACAGACCTACAAAATAAAGGGTAATATGAAATTATAATTTTTTATTAGGATGAAATCATATTTTTTAACAGTTACATTAACAAATATTAACGACAAGGGGTTATGTGTTATATTTGCACAAACGTCAGGAGGTGTAAGAGTAATATTCTAAATGTGAGGGAGTCCAAATGATTAAGTGATAAGTATGATGGAATTTAGGTGTTATTTATCCATTTAATTTTAGACGCTAAAGTGACGGTTGTTAATTTCAAGTACGTATTAATATAAATTTTTATTTTTGAGTGTGTAAATTAATATTTTTAATTTTTAAGAGTGTAAATTAAGATTCGAACGATTTTTCAGAGTATAATTTATAATTAAGCTATTTTTTTTTGTCACAGGTATATATATATATATATATAAAGATATGCACATATTAAAATGTGTGTATGCACACACTATGACTAGTGAGGAAGAAATATATGACTGTTTACATAAGTGGTAGATTGAGTGAGAAAGCATAGGATGAGAGCATCTTACTGGGGCCCCCACCCTTTTCGAAGGTAAAGTTTAAAAAGAATGTCCACTCTTATCATTTTGTTGATACGAACCCAATTTAATATAATTTTAAAATTAATATAATTATTAAATATCTATAATAAATAATTTAAATTAATATTTAATACTTAAAATATATTAAATAATTTATTTTTTTTATAAATTTTAACATAAATACAATATAAATAAGACACAAAAATATACGACAATTAGGTCGCACGACAGGAATTGACACGCCTGTTGGACAGAGACCAAACAAGAGAACTAAAAACAAAAACTATTTGTAATTTTCTTCATGTTGATTGTACCTGGCCAACTCACCTATACCATGCCATAATTAGGTGGTCTTATTGGGAATTCAACAATTTCTTACTTTGGAGTTAAACTTAGAAGAGAGAGAGAGAGAGAGAGAGAGAGAGAGAGAGAGAATCTGCTTACTTACTCCCAGTTTGCCTCAACTCCAGAAACTTAGCGTGTCTGCTTTCCTTTCCTTTTCTTAACCCTTTTTTTAAATTTTTGTAGGGGCTCAAAGCTTTGTGGGTGATTTCAGGATTTGGAGTGTCTCATCTGGGTTTTGTCAGAAAACGAGTGTGCGTTCAGTAATTCAGGGACACAGCTAGCTAGCTACCTAGCTAGCCACTTTCCAGGTGGTTTTTCCTTGGCTCTTCAAGTTCCAAACCACAATGGCTTACACACAGTAGACTGAAGCTGGTGTTTCTTTGGCCTCTCTCCCAATGGCGCTGTTGTCCTAATCTGTGAGCCTCTCTTTCCTAACATCTTGCTCTCCGTCAGTTTTTATGTTCTGGGTGTCTCTCAAAAACATTTCTTTTACTTTTTCTTGTAAGTATAAAACTACTCGTCTTATTTGATTCCATGTTGTTTAATTCTTGTTCTTGTGGCCAATTGTGGTCTGACCTATTTGCCTCATCTGCTAGTCTGGAAATCACTTGATTATTTTGCTTCTTTTCTTTTTGTTTCTCTTTCTTAAAATTCCAAATTGTCTGAACCAGATCTAACACAATTCTGCTTATATTCAAAAATCTGAAGGGAAACTCTTCTTTTGTGGGAAATGCAGCTCTTAAGATTAGGGTTTGTCGTAATATCTGACGAGTTAACATGTATTTCGGATAATTTATGTAGTTAGTACTAATTTTCATCTGCATTTCTTGATTTCTTCTGTAAATATGTAACCCACTAATACTAGGTTTTACAGCAATGAACTAGAGGTGAACTTTGAATTTGCAATTGTTTTCTGCCTCACAAGCTGGCAGAAACAGGGAATTATATTTGATTATTTAGTTGGCACTCCAATGCAGTGGTCAACTGTCATTGAGCTCCACTAGATTTTGTTCTTGGTCTAACTGCATTTGCTGGCCAATCAAGTTGCTCGTGTATGAGTTTTGTTTTAAGGGTTAACTTGAGTAGTAAATCTCTCTTCCCCACCTCTTTGTCTTGTTGTGTGTATAGGTTTTTGTGTGCATATGTATCGACAGTTTCTATATTGAGCTAATTTCTTCAATGTTCATGTAGAACCTCAGTCAATTTACCCTTTTATCGGTAAGTTTCATATTCAATTGAAGATTCAGATAGTCTTCTGAGCTGGCTATTTCTTTGACTTGACACACGTTAGTTTGCAGATACTTTATTAGTTATTGTATAATGCTTTATAGTAAAATTTCTTATTTGTTTGTTTTTTTCTCAAATAATCTGAGATAGATTTGTCAACGTAGCATATGCTAGAACTCATGTTGTTAAGATTCAAGTTAGGCAAGTATTGGACCTGGTGACTGTTCCTTAGCAACTAACATAGATGAGATGCCATCACATTTACAGTCGACGATATAACAAATGAACCAAGTTAGGTGAAGAAGAGAAGCTGCTCATACATATTGCAGATAATTTGGTTGAAACTAGTAAATCATGCTAAAGGTAAATGGTTTCATGAAATTGAAGTAAGGAAATGCTTTGTTAAGAAATTTTGATTGTTGTGATGAGTACTAAAATTAATTTTCTCAAGAGATTGCAAAACAACGGAGATCTTTACTCCGCAGCAGAAATGTAACATGTAATGAATGAGCCTATTTCATATACAAGTTTTACTCATTAATGAACTATTAGAATTTGACATTTTAGTTCTATTCTGATCAGATGATTGGCAATATTAGTGGGCTCCCACTCATGTCGCTATTGACTACTGTTTAAATATGGTGTGATTCTAGTTTTTCTTTCCCTTTCTCTGGTTCTATGCTGACTTTCTGTTCAGAGAAAGTTCCTGAGATTTTATTTAAATACACTAAGGATTTATCAAGGTCAACTTACCTGGGCTGATTAACTAATTCATGCCTTTTTAATCATTGGAGGTACTAAAGAGTAGTTGCAGGAGGTGCAAAATATTCGTATTGGCTGGCTAGGCATAGTTTATCCATAGTCTTCACATGGTCAACTGACCTAGCAGAGTTCAACAAAAACTAGGAAGTAATAGTGAAAGCCCGTTGTATTCTTTCCAGATGTTCAAAGAAAAAAGTCAGTTTTCAAAAATAACTTAACACAAATACGAGAATGTTTTGAAAAAGAATATAAAAGAGGAAAACCGCTTGCTCTTATTTTATCATCATCTTCTCTGAGGTATGGGGGCATCAGGTATTTGCACTAGGATGGAATATTTAAAAAATATCAACACGAGTTTCTGGAAATGAAATGTTAAGTATGATGTCACTGGTCCAGTTAAATTGAAAATTGCTTAATTCTTTTATATTTTCCACACATACAGGATGCTGCTGGGTTCGACTGACTTTCTGTATCTCTGTCTTGAGTGCCATGGCATTTGGATCAAAGAGAGCATGGAAGTCAGTGGTGCCTCTCCATTTGAAAGGCAAATCTTCGCATCATTTTTGTTTATTTCCGAAAGTAAAATCAGCTGGTCATGGTCCAGGCAACACACCAGTTTATCTTAATGTCTATGACTTGACACCCATGAATGGCTATGTCTATTGGGCTGGCTTTGGTATCTTTCACTCTGGTGTGGAAGGTAAACTTTCCCACTTTATATTGGTACCTTTTTGTTAGCTTTTATTTGTTTTGTTTATTTAGTTCTTGTATCTCTGACAATGCACTTAAGCTAGGTGCCTTTGTCTTGTTTGTTTGAGCTTTACACCTCTATAGTACAATATCTTTATTATAATTAGAGTACCTAACCGAGTCTCTTAATAAAGAGAAGTTGGGGACATAGTCAACCTCCTACTCTACTATAAGAGCGATTCCATGGGACCAGGATCGAGAGAAGGAGAAAGATCGAATCTTGAAGGACTGAGCCCATCTAGCAAGATTGGGAGGTTTAGTGTCCTCTTAAGCAGGAATACCCAACTTTTGGGGTCAGCTTGACTCACGATTTCACACTCAGAAAGGTAGTCTCATAATTCAGCTATCCCCCTATCCCCTAGGGGAGGGAACCACTGAATCAAAGTAGCTATGACCATATAACACCACCCTTTGGTGGTTCAACTGGTTGTGCTATACATGCAAAAAATTTGGCCTTGTGGACAACTCAAGCTTTACATTTTGGCACTTGCCACAAAGTGCTAGGCATACCTTTGGCTCCATTGCTGTTCGCATGTGATGTGACCTTGTATTTTTACCCATGCATGTGAAAACCTTGTAACTTTTAATTCGCATCATGTATTAAATATGATGAAGAATTGACAGAAGAGTTGCTAACCTTTTGAACTTGTTCTTGCATGATGTGGTGGTTCTTTCAGCCCCTTTTGCTCAAGTGAATACACCAGTTGTACATCAAATCATAGTGTAACACAAAGTCAAGAAAAATGACCATAACTGTGGCCTCTTTCTCGTAAGCAATTTTGGTTTGTCATTGTGCACTGCACCAAAAGTGGAAGGCTAGGTCATATATACAATGGCCAATGAACATTTTTGTTTACTTCCTCTTATATTCTGCATAAAAAACTCTAGAAGAATTGAAAGTTCTGTTATTTTAACTACGTGCAATTGACAGTTCATGGTGTAGAATATGCATTTGGAGCTCACGACTATCCTACTAGTGGCGTCTTTGAGGTTGAACCCCGGCAATGCCCAGGCTTCAAGTTTAGGAAGTCAATATATGTTGGAACTACATGTTTGGATCCTGTCCAGGTTAGAAATTTCATCGAACTTCAAGCTGCAAGCTACAATGGTGATACATATCACTTAATTGTCAAGAATTGCAACCATTTCTGCAAGGACATTTGCTACAAGTTGACTGGAAAGTCAATTCCAAAATGGGTAAATCGACTAGCGAAATTAGGTAGTTTTTCTTCATTACTCTTATCCCACTTTAAGAAAGTAGTCGATCTGTTATTCTAACTCATATCTTTGAGTAATCATTTTTTGTTCTCCTTGTTGGTCTTAGGTTCAGTGTTCAACTGTGTATTACCAGAAGCACTCAAAATCGCTGCTGTGCAAAATGACCCAAATTGCCAAGCATATGATAGTGAAAGAAGAAGGCTGCGAAGTGCCTTCAGTTGCCTGTCTTCGATCTCAACAAGGCAAAGGCAGTTGTCAACGTCTTCATTGTTTCTACAGTCCCCCTTAAAAGGTTGCTTTCCGCCCTGGGAATTAAGGCGGTCTAACAATGGCTTATTGAAGGAAAGGTAAGATGAAGATAAATCTTTGATCATTGTCACAGATTCAAGGCACCTCATAATAGCTGTAGACCTCCTAAAAAAAGGGCGTGCATAGAGAGAAACATTGAAGAGATTTCAAAGGACCCTTCCAAATCTCCCAAACAAGGGCTGTTTGGAAGGTATCTGGCTTACATATTTCTAAGTTAGTGTTGATCCAAGCTATATAAGCTTCAGGCGGGGGAATGTGTGTTATAGAAGGGCATCTCTCTCTCAATAGATAAATACTCTACCTGTAAGTGTGTAGTTGGCCGAATCTGACCTATTCATTCAACAGTCTTTACACGCAGAGAGTTATCATTTTTGTTACCTTTATGCTGATTATTTTGAAGTCGCTTATGGAATTTCAAGGAGTAACTCTCCCGTGATAACATGGACGAATTGTAAATTCAGATGTCTTGAGTTTAAAATTTAATAACTCTTTAGGGTCAGGTTATGAAAGATTTATCCTTCATCAATATCATACTTTGACATAAATGACTTGTTTTTGACCGAACCAGAAAGAAGATTAATCAAAGTGCGTGTCAATTGGTTCAGACACTCTTGATTGTGTAGCTACTCAAGAAAAATCTCTAAACTTCTTCTGTCACTAGTAACCAACAAAACACATTCCGGGTCCAAATGTTAGTTCCCCACGTTGTTGAGATCAGCTTCTCTGTGAAATAGAAGTTACAAAACCATTGCCCGGAGCTGTATCTCCGTCCCACCAAAATGCGAAAAAGCTGCATCTTTCGGTCTCTCTCAATCCAATGCTTTCGTCCATGTCTCAAGAAATCAGCAAGGTTCGATAGTCCTCCCTCCTCCCAGGTACGTGAAGTCGTAAAAAATGCACAATGCATCCCGATGCCCTTGGGCAGAATTGCAATTTGGGCTGCCACGACTATAAAACCGGTACTTGTACAGAGATTTTTACTGCTGAGGTTGGGCTTACGCAAGAAAAATTGTTGAGGCCTATGAAGGAGGCCTAAGAGGGATTTCGAGAACCTATCTAGAAGAATGTTTAGGAACACCAACTTTAAAAATGATAGTAGTCTTCTTATATGAACCCAACCTATCGTGACGACTTTCAAAACAGGAGAATGCCTCTTCATATGGAGAAATAAATTTAATCAAACTCTTGACTACAATCTGATTTAAATTCAAAAAGTATTCCAATTGACCTTTCAATTTCTCAAAGCCCACCACATACCAAATTCAAATGAATGAATGAGTTTCACCTCAATTCAATTTTATCTTTAGCATCTAAGTTTCATAACGTGAGAATCAAATTTGAGTTTAACTCAAATTGAATTTAAGGACAAAATTCTCCTGTGGAGGGATTTGGGTGGGTTAAACTCGAATTAACCTCTAAACCCACCTAAGTCGCAATCTTACCCACGTGGGGGCGTTGGGTTAGCTTAGATAGAACTCATTATGGTGCACATTTTTTTTTTGTCCTCCCAACATTTGAGGTAAAAAAATAAAGGACTAATCTCATTTTACAACCCGAGCGATTTTGTAATTTTTAATTTAAGCTCTCAAACATCAAAATTTTCAATTTAAACCTTTAATATTATGAATTAATATCAATATAGGCCTTGCCTAAATTGCCTTCAATTTTTTGTTATAAATTAAAACACATAAATTGCAAGTACTTCATGCATAGACTAATATATAAAATCACAAACTATTGACGCCTCATAAGTTGGATATGATAGGATTAGTCTCTATCTGATTAATGAAATCATATTTTTGATACACAAAATAATATTAAATTGATCGCAGACAAAAATCTGCAACAAAGCATACTTCTTCCTCATGTCCAAACCACTTGCACCTCAAGTGTTTTAATTTATAATGGAAAACTAAACAATATTCTAAGTCAAATTCATATTACTACCAATCATATCATTAAGAGTATAAATTGAGATTTTTAATATTTTGAGGGTGCAAATTTAAAATCGAAACATCTTTTAGGATACAAAATAAAATTAGCCCAAAAATAAATTCAACGAGAGAGAGAGAGAGAGCTGTCACAAGGAAACGCCCTGAATCCCCGGAGTGCACAAGGCAGTTACGTTCAGTTCCTCGTGGAAATATTTTCATGGATCCCAGTCAAGGCAAGAAATATCACAACCTAAACTATTCACCTCTATATACATCACATTGACATAAGCAGCAATGGCTACCGGGTCACCCAAACCAGCTCTTAAACAATTTATCATCTTTCCTGTCACTGTGCTAGCCAACTGCAAAATGAAGCGAACTCAAGAGAACTATTTACCATTGAAAGAGCAACCAAAGCTCTACAGCAAGGTAATATTCACATGTACATTTCAAATGAATATAAGAATGCTCGTTCTGAACTTGATTTTATTTGTCATTTTTTCGTTGTGAAACAACAAAAATCGTACAATGAATATACAGAAGGCGAATCCCAATTATTGTTGGACAAACAAACCTGCAGGGACACGAAAGAGCTGCTTCAGATTAATAGATACATATATTTTTCCCCTATACCCAGATCATCATTCTGTGAGTAAGAAAATTACAGAAGTATGATAACACATCAGTATTTTCGTATTTTAGTGGGTAGAGATGACCACCCCTCTCTTCCTCTATGTTATGAAAACTAAAATCCCAGGTGGAACTGGCTAGCTTTTGAGCCAGGATGTGAAATTATCAATCGTCTTTCTGATGCAAATCAGAAGACAGACTATTATTACCATTGAGGGCAGCGTGATACACTCGTTTCTCTGCCAAGCCAATATTTGAAAGTGTCAAATTACCCTGTGCATGCAAAACAGCAACAGCAAATCAGACCAGATGACTTGACATGGAATAAGCGAAAATTTTAAGCATGTATGCATACCTCGCGAGCCATTAACCTTCGGACATTGTCAGCATAAAGACGTGGATCATCTTTTTCTTGTTGTGAAGGATAGTAAACAGGTAACCTTTTCACCTCAATGTGATTTACAAATTGACAAAGAAGAAAAATAACATGGCGCACCTGAAAATGAAAATACGTATTGTAACTCAATATAGGAAAACAAAAAATGCATCCCGAGCACCCCCTCCCTCCAATATTTAGGAGCTAAAAAATATCTGTTAGGAATGCATGGCTGCTGTGAGTAACCATTAGATATCAATCACAAAAGATATTTGCATGGAGGGTTTGTCGTAATGCCCTGCCCACTAGGGCCAATCTATGCAACAGGAAAACCTTGTATAATCAAGAGAGTAAGGAGGCAACTGAAGTGGTTAGTAGCACTAGGGAGTACTACCTCATGATCCTACAAGCTGCAGAAAACTAAAAAACGCAGTAACTTTACTCATCCAATTCCCACAAGCTAGTGTCCTCCATCAAAGAAAGTTGTTAAAATTAATTTTGATGGGGCAATTTTCAATGCCATTCATGCAATGGGCATTGGGGTAGTAGTTAGAGATAAGGCAGGGGAATTCATTGTTGGATTGTCAATGAAGATATGTTCAAGTACGGACCCGGAACAAGTAGAAATGTTGGCAGGAAAGGAAGCTGTAGCCTTTCCTTTGCACCAGGAATTTTTCGGGTGTTGAATTGGAAGGAGATGCTGCCAAGGTTTTCAAGCACCTTCAGGATCATGGTGTTAATCTTTCTTCTTTTGGTGTTATCATGGCTGATATCCAAGAATTGTTAAAGAAGTTCAGAAATTTTAGATTTTCAATTGTAAGGCAAACAGGAAATAGGGTGGCACATGAATTGGTGCAAAATGCTAAATTCTTGGATGATGTTGATGTATGGCTAGGTGAGGCACTGGATTTTGTAATGCCTCATCTCCTAGCCGATATTCCTCAATAATAAAATTGCTATTGTTTCTTATGAAAAAAAAAATAGCACGTCTGTGAACACTGATATATGTTAAAGCTAGTCTCTTTCGCTATAATGCTTTGCATTTGGAGTGAAAAAGCTTTCTATATGGCATTAAAGTAGTTGTAATGTCACTGAAACAACACTGGCCAGGTAAGATATAAGGAATTGCCATGACTTAGATTGATTGTCAATGAATCCTTGACTAGCCCATGACTATAATATCACCACATAAATTGCTAGCTTTCTTTGAAATAATCTGGTAAACAAAATGTCCTACATTGATTCTGATTGACAATTTAGGGCCAAAAGAAAACAAATACCGTGTGTTTAGCAAGAGCTTGAAATACTTTATGACCAAGAAGAGTTGTAGCAAAACCAAATACATAAATACCAGCTTAACAGGAATAACAAAAAACTTATTAACTTAGAGCCTTCAGCATCCAGATCAGTCAAAACTTCAAAAGTCGCATAGTCAATTAAACACTCACCCCAGATATGGAATCCCATGCCGGACTAAATCTCTGGTATGGATATCTTAAAATCACAGGAAGCACAGGAGTTTTCGACAAAAAAGCACCAGTCTTAAATGGAAGGAGGAAGTCCCCATTTGTAGTTGTGCCTTCTGTAGTAAACAGAAAAACAATTAGACTGTGAATTGTATGTGGATGGCTGCGAGTGTGACATTGACAAATGATCTAACAGGCAAAAGATGGGTTCCGGGTGAATAAAACCAAAAAAAAAAAGGATATAGTAATTTCAATGAGAATCTTGACTGCATTCTAAAGATATAGGTGTGAGACTGGGCAAATGCAACTGCTGAAACTCCTGAAATTACCCCCCAACTTCAGGTGTTATGTCATCAGCTAATCACATTTTCCCATACATACTGCAGAATGCAAATGATATTGTGCACATTTTCTTAGAACATACATTAGTAGAATCTTGAATTATTCTCGCTGTCAAAATTCATTTTGTAGAACAGTATAACCAGAGAGGTTTTGAGATTGGGGAGCAGATCATATGATTGAAGTACAAACCATGGATCATGAGTGCATGAGTGTATTAAGGGGACCAATATAAACCTGGAAAAAGCATCATCATTGGGGCAAGCTTATTCTGATGAGCCTCCTGAACTCTTTCATTCACAACACCTGCAAGGAAAAAAAGTATCACAAATGAAATATAAGATAACATGGCCTTCCAGAGCATTAGGTTCCAGAAAGAACAACAAAAGACAGAGACCGTATACTCAAAAAGGAATCATCTACGTGCCGAGCAACAAAAAGACACAAGCTGCATGAATAGTGCTTTGCAAGATAAACAGTTTAAGACATGACAGATGTTCTATTTACCAGTACCCCAAACATGACAATTAATGAGAGAAAGCACCATTTTCCTTTTTCTCCTATAGCAATGGTGGGGATGAATTCAGATATCAGAATTAGTGTACAGATAAATGGAAGTTTTATTTCGACCAACCATAAATTGGATTTTCTAGTAATTACATAGTAAATATACTTGTCAATCGACGTGTCTTAACCGTCTCAATCTCCTGAATTTTGAAAATTTATCACGCCATCTCTCGTGTTCCAGGTCCCATGTCTGTGCCCATGCAACAAAGCCAAACAGAGACCATCCAGACAGACATTCTAGGTTGATTTCCCTCTCGATTAGATTTTCCTCTAAAACTTCTCCCATTCCTCTTCCTTTATTCCGCTGATCGAATTAATATATAAGGAAAAAAATATACGATCTTTCTACATCGTGAAGTGAACCAAAGAGCGACTTTTCAATGTCGGATATGGAACTTCTGGCAAAAGAAGCTGGGAGTAAACAATGGCTTTCAGCCTCACTCATTCATTGAAAAACACAAAAGTTGAGGCTTTGAACCATGCCTGAATTGAGGCATTTCACTAAGAAATGAGAAGAAAACATCGAAGAAGGAATGTAAACACCAAAGATTTATCTACCTGAAACACCCTTGAAGTCAGATGATTTCGACTCCCGTTGGACATAAACACACCCAAGGCACTTGCTGTAAAAGACATAACATGACAGTTAAAACCTCATTTGACTAATCCTTAAAGTTCATTATAAACATAACAAGCATCATGAACCAGACGCCAGAAGAAGCAAATGAGAAAGAAAATACACCCAGAATAAAAGGGTCTAAAATATAGCAATAAGAGAAAAAGGCAAACCCTTCCCAAGCATTATGGAAAAGTACAGAAGAAAAAGGAAATCCCATTTCCCCACCAACACAACCTTAAACTCATTTCACTTGGATGAAACTAAACTTCTTGCAGCTAACAAAACTATAAGGGAGTCAGTTGCAATGTAAAAGCTACCAGGACGATTTGTAGTCTACCTGTTAGCATTCTCAGAAACAGAGTGCATCAGTCCTTACTTTTTTCAAAGGGTAAATGGTCATACATGCAAATAACCACTCCAAGGATGCAAGGCTAAAGGGTTATCCATGCAAATGCCCATTCCACGGAATATCTAGCTCACTCACTTCCTCACAATGCAATCCATAAAACATCAAGGAAGAACACAGATGGTTCAACAGACAACTTTAAAATATTAATCATCATTTGGACTCATGTGGCATGTCTAACTAAAGACTCAACACCTACATTTATTGACCCATAACGAGAACCTGAATAAACAAAAGTAACATGAGTGCGTCCTATCAACAAGCAAAACGTAGCACCGTTATTTTTATTCTTAACAGAACTATAGTAATCCACAAACTGCAATTTAGTAAATAAATACGATGTGAACCAACCTGATGAGACCAACAAGAGGAAGTTTGGCGACTGATCTCTTAAGCATCAAAATCCATGGGAGCAATCAACAAAATTAGTACAGAACCATGTTCATAAAATCGCCAGAAATTATGCAAATATAGTTCAATTATGTATATGCACACTGTACTGGGGCAAAAATCAGTTAACAGACCTTCGCCACAAAGCTTGGAAAAGAGGACGACATGTGGTACAAAATATCCAAATAAGATACATGATTTGATACGATTGCCCCAGGTCTTTCAGGTTCTTCAGATTGATCCTTGCACTCAGTCTGACAAAATTAAAAAGAAGAAAGAACCAGAAAGATAATCAGCACATTAGAAATCATTAAGTATCCACATATCATACTTCATGGAAGCAGTGCCTGAGACCAATCATTCTACAGTATCCAATTTTCACAAGACTACAAGAAAGGAAGCATAGAATCATTATCATCCTGATACATTAAAATTCACAATGAAGCATAATAATTTCTTATGCTTATGATCTTTAGATCATTCCAGTAATGTTCTGATGGACTTCCAGCATATTGAAGTGAATAAGATGAGACTCGGTAGTTTACTTAATAAATGGAAAATGTTAATGATGAACCCTCATTTGTACAAACACTTCAGTTAAAAACGCAGGATCATCATCAAACATGTAAAGGAAGTACCTCAGCATTCGATTTTTCGTCTACGAATGGATTCCGATAGCTCTCATCAATCCAATAAAACCCTAGAACGAAAAGCATAGCCCTAGAAAGAAACCTCCCAACCTGAACAATCACTTCTCTCCTCCACCCACCCATATGCGCATAATCTTCTTGTTCATCCTCTCGATTCGGGACCAAACACACGGTGCACACTTTACAAACCAAGTAATACGCAACCAATATAGTCGTCGCCGCCATTACACGGAGTGGCACGATTGTAACGAGCGCCATACCTAGTAACACCTTCTCCATCCATGGCAGCTCACCACGACCCATAACACCGTACACGTCGTTTCTAACGTACGCCGCATATTTCTTCTCGAGCTCTTCGAGGTTTGGTTGAGAGATTGTATTCGAATTGGCGGCGGTGGCGGCGGCGGTGGTTGAGTCGGGTTTGAGAAGAGGACGGTCGCCTTTGGTTGAACCATCATCATCGGATGGGAATGGTTCGCTGGATTTGGGGGTTAGGTCTTTGAGTTCGGACTCCATTCTTGAAACTCTAATAATTGCTTGTCTGCGAATTTTCTATTGGGTAGCCATTGTTGTTGGTGGAGCTTTCGGGAAGAGAGAGAAGGCTTTGAGTGAGGAAGTGAAGTTCGTAGGTCTTACAAAAGTGTCGTCTTATCGTGGTGGCGTGTTAAGCATGCGGATTCTCTGCCTGCGTGTGGCGTGGAGATCCTCCAATGGGATATTGTGTGGAGTTTGCGAGCTCATTGTAAGATGCCTGCGCTGTGATTTATAGCCATTGAAGCGAATCAGTTACTTTTATGCGTATCCGTTGATATTGGGAAGTGACTTTAAAAAATATTTTATTTTTATTTAATTTATTTATTAATTTATGGCTAAGGAAATACGGATATTTATCTCTTTTTTAAATACAGTAACCAATGACATCAACCTAGTGTTTTTTTTTTTTTTTGATCAAGAACATGGTAGATTCATTCGTATAAGAAAAATTTCGTTACAATCAGACATAAAAAAAAATCTTAAACTCTAACGGAAACTTGTCCAATTCACAAAAGATAAATGTATAATGTAGTTGCGGCTATTCAATGAACTGCGGCTCTAGGCTTGTGTAAAATCTTAATACTAAGGTGTGTAACATAAGATCTGATATCATCCACAAAAAAATGTATCGCCCAAGGAGAAACACCTGATTAAACTGAGCTTGATAACCTGATTATCACTCTCAATATTACAAGATAATGCACTAGCAGTGTTTATCCAGACACAAACTCCACTCAATTCCCACGATGGTGATGGTCTATTATTTTATAAATATTAAATTAAATTCACATATTTCTTTAAAAAATATTTTATAATAAATTAGTCATCAGGTAGAGATAGAAGATCCATCAATATAAGTTATATTTATAATGAGTGATTTATCATTAGGAGGTTTTTTTTTCCTGTCAAACCAAATTAATCCTTGTTTTTATATTTTTATTTCCACTAATTTTGATTATTATTATTAACCACTTTTTTCATTAAAAAAAAAAAACCGTCCAACACACCTACTCCCACCGTTCCATGATTTTAGAAGAGTTGTATGTATTCAATTTTTCACCAGCATAACCAACTAAACGATTCGAACCCGATTTATTAATAAACAACCCCATTACTCCTCAATTATTGATAGCATTGATAATTGAGCTAAATTTTTATGAGCTCAAAGTGAATTTGTCGAGCTTATTTTGTTAAGTGCGTACAAAAAATTGTGTAAACTTGAGTCATTTAGAGTCGGAGTTGAGTCAAAAATAAATCGAACTTGAGTAACTTAACTATTTTACATAAAGATAAACCGAATTTTACGAATTATAATTGAGTTTTTTTTAGACTTTTTTTTTCAATGAACTTAAAGAATTACTTAAATTGACCCAAGTTCAAATTAAACCCGAATAACTCCGCTCAATTATCGGCGCTGATCGGTCGCCCACGGTGGTTGATCTGTCTATAAGCAAAGCTAAAATATTTGACTGGGCTAGTCGCCCTGTAAACGGATTGCATCTAATTAGACCCAACCCAATATATATAAAGTTCTGAAGACCCAGCGCAGCCCAGCCCCCTTCGCCCAATGTCAATCTCTCTCTCTCGTATCTGCACTTCCCATTTTCCTCTCTTCATCTTTGACAAATAAGGGAGTTGGGATCCAATTCAGGGGGATTTCTTCGGTTTCTTTATCTTGATGGAGAAAATCAATCTCAAAACTTGACAGAAATTCATGGGTAATAATAGACCTGATATTTGGGTTTGACTTTCAACGTGCATCAGTTTTAATTTTAAGAAGGCAAACTAGGGTTTCTGCTTCGTTGAAGGACTCGGTTTTATTCAGGTGATTTTTCTTTTCAAGCTTTTCTTTTTTTTTTTGTTGAATAGTTAGGTTATTTACAAAACTGACATGAAACTGAACAAAAATTGCTGGAATTGAGAGTTCGATTGGTGAATTTAGTTTGAAATTTGGCTGTGGTTAAATGTGATGACATTGTTGATTGTTGGATGAAATTTTGTTGGAGTTCAAACGATTCGGATCGGACAAAAAAAATCCTTTTTTTATTTGGGTGGGGGGGGGGGGGGAGGGG